CCTCTTTCTCTGGTGAGTGCATGTGCCCTCTGGCAAGATTTTAAAAATTGCTTATATGGCTATGCTTAGTTGTTTGAATGAATGAGTAGGGGTCGTGGTCTGGGCTGAGGGATGGTTCAGATACTGTAGCTGCTTCTCAGCCACCCTTCTCAGGGTCAGCTTGCTTACTTGGAAGTGGCTGAGCCTGTGAGCTGAAAATATGGCTCACTAAGAGGATAACACCTGGGGCTCAGGCCTTCAGAGGAAAGAGTCTAGTTTGGGGATGGGAGGGTTGCCATGGGTTGGAAAGCTGCCATGATGGGATGCTCTTTGGCATTCACAGTAGCAGATAGAACTGAGACCTCAGCTATAGCATATTGCTTTGGATGCAACTTCTTGGATAGTCTTCCTGGTGCAGGTTAGCACTTTCACTCTCACTAGCCTGTATCTTAATTGACTGAAATGGCCTGAATTTTCATTTCCTCACAACTATGAAAACTGATATAGGAGGCCTCTCCATCTGACTCACCTGGGAGGGCTGGGCTCTTGGTGGATGTAGCTGAGTAAGGAAATAAAAAGCTGGAATTCAAAGTGTACTGGCTGGTTTGGCAGGAAACCTCTTAAAAATTTAAATAAAGGGAGTTGACAGCCCAGCCCTGAAGAGCTGCTATCACTTTAGCCCCTGTGGTTTTTATGGGAACTAGAGACATTGCCCAGCTTCTCAGTGTTTGGGAAACAAACAAGAATACTCCACTAGCATCCCTCAACTGTAGTCTGTGCCTTGTGGGGATGCTTTAGTGGATTAGACTTGCTCCTCAGATGTGCGAGGGGCCTGAGCAATGCCAGGACACAGAGTGGAAAGTGTATGGAACCTTAGGTAGATCAAAAGTCCTGCTATTCCCACCACATGAGTGTTTCAGCTTCTCAAGGAATTACTGGTGTGTGTGTTATTTGCACCCCAACCTGTGTAGGTTGTTTCATGTTTATAGAGCGTATAACTCCCACTCTTATAAAAGGTTTTCTATTTGTAAAATTGTGAATAATATATAAGATAAAAATGAGTTATGCATTTTATCCTGTGCTACACGATTTGAATTCCTGGGTGCAAAGCATTGGATAAGATAATTTTAACTATTTTAAAAACTAAACTGTAGGACAGAGGTGAAGGAATGAAATCCCTCATAATTCTGCTGTCTTTGCAGGTACTTATTTGAAATTTGATTCATGAACTGCCAGGCTTCTCTTGGAACAATTTCTTCTGACCTTGAAATTCTCCAGCCCACATTTGTGGGGAGCTGGTTGGTGTCACTGGATGCAGATTCCTAAAGAAGACTTCACAGTGAACATATTTCTACTTGACTCGTGGTTTAAGTGCTGCAAGTTAAGCAGGTATGATGGAGATACCTGGATGCAAAGAGTGTTTTTGCTTTATGATTTGGGGCTGGGCAGTGAAGCAGAACAAAATAGGACTCAAGGAGAAGTTTATAAATTTTCAGCACTAATGCTTTTTTCCTATGTAATTGTTAGATCAAAGAGAAAGCTGGAATATCAGGATTTAGTTCGACAGTCTTGGGCTGAATTATACAATCTGTACTGCAGAGATTTGTATGATTCTGCATTGCAGTTACACAATTTCACACTGTATTGGGGAAAAAGAATCACCTTTACTCCTAACAACTGATAGAGATAGTTTCCTTCCTTCAGAAGACCATGTACTTGAACCTCACACCTTCATACTTTGTTTCCATTAATTGAGAGGGGAAGTCATGATCACTTTTGAAGTGACATAAAGGCTCATTGCTGGACTATTTTTTAAATAATTATTATTGAACTTTATTTATTTATTTTAATTTGACCAGAGAGGGACAGAGTGAGAGAGACAGAGCGAGAGATAGAGATAGAAAGTGAGAAAGCAAGCTGCCAGGTCTGGGACTCAATCCGCAGTCAGCCATATGGGAGTCCAGAGCCTTCAACCATCCATGCCATCTGCTGGCCCCACTGGACTTTTATTTTTTTTAAATTTTAATTTAATTTTATTTATCATCATTATTTTTAAATTTACTATAAGGCACATGAGCTCACCAGAGAGAGAGAGAGAGGGAGGGAGAGAGAGAGTGAGAAAGCCAGGTCTGGGACTCGAACCATGTGGGAGTCCAGTGCCTTAACCACTGTATCACCTGCTGGCCCCAGTTGGTGGACTTTTTAAACAAGAATTCTTTTAGAATGGGTGAATACATAATAGATTCTTAGTTTGAAGTGAGAATGAGAAAAAGAGGTAAAGAAAAGGGGTAAATAATGAGAGAAATCAGTGAATATTTGTATAGTACTAGGTATTGTATATCAGGTTATAGATAGTATGCTCACTTTTTTTTTTTACCATGGAGTGCCAGCCACCAGCAAGGTGAGCAATATGATTTTCTTCAAAGGAAATCAGAATCTTTGTATTTTATGCATTTTTCTCTGAGATATATTTACAAAGCAATTAATTCAGATATACTAATTCATCCTTTCCGTGGGATGGTTCTGTCCAAAGCAAGGGGCTCATAGCTTTGAGCCCCTTTGACCTGTACAAGCTGCCATGTAGGTGGTTTCAAAAGTTTGAAAAAAAATTTCGTGGAAAATGGAATTTAAAATAGGAGTTTGAATTTGATGCAAAATAATCCATGCATAGTTTTTTTCCCCCACAATACACATTTTTCATGAGCTTTTTGCAGACCCCTTGTATTTATTTTTTGCATTGCAAGGACTGAATTGGAGTACTGGTTGAAACTGGGGAAAACTCACAATATATTCAACATCTAAATGTCTAAGTCAGAATGGTAAATAAAGTATGTGGCATATGTACCAACACACTACTCTTTCTACCCATGACAGATATCACTAATCTATTGTTACCAGCCAAACCAGAAGTAGCCTTGGAATCTTTGTAATGTAGGGCTTCAGACAATGCCAGAATCCAGGGCACTTATTATTTCTTCACCTTATATTGATTGGATTGGATTTGGATACATGGCTCTATTTGCTTACAGGTTACGCCCCCTTTTCTTTTGCTGTCACTTGCCAGAGTGTCTTTAGAATCCTGTTGCTTGAGCTCTGCCCTACTGAGCTGATATTCTCTGTTATACTTATTGGTCTGTTTTGCAGTTTAATTTTTTCACCTATCTTAAGTCAAGTACTTGTTGACCTACTACCTTGTGTTGTTTCAGCATTGATACTAATTTCAGGTTTCAATATAAAGAAAATAATAATTTTACTTCCCTTTTTGGGTGACTTTAGCCCATTCCTCAAACTGTTATGGTTCTCTCCCAAGGACATCAAATACCATGGTTTAGAGGTAAGTGGGGTGTGTTTTAAAAACAGGACTTTGCATCTCTTCTAGTGGTGCTTACAGTGTATAATCACTGGCCAATTATTTTATTACCAAGTGTTATTACTGGGTCAGAAGGAAAGTCAGGGTCAGTATTTAACCATCACTTGGGTTATGTCTAATCAATAACCAAAGCAAACAGTTTACATTCTTACAATCAAGTCTGATTGTCTGACATTTATTGAGCATTTACCATTGGACATCTTGCTAGGCCAGGGGGATATAAACGTATGCAAATCACGACTCGTCTTTGAAGGTAAGTGCCTCTCTGGAGGTGCGGAACCTAGCGGCAGAAATGACAGTGTGAGAGAGTATCTGGATTTGTAAGAGTCTGTGTTATCTGGCTTTCAGAGAAGGGTCTGTTTCTAAGATTCTGGGGTATAGGCTAAGGCATCACAAATGAAAAGGTTTGAGGGGCACCTCAAGAAAACGTGGGGCTTGGGTGTGATAAATTGTGATGTGGGGAGTTGGTGAAAACTGCAGAGCTGGCTAGAGGCATTCTGGCATTTTAAGGAACAAGGAGGGGAGCCATTGTGTTCAACTGGAGCCATCACTGTGGGGTATTATAGGACAGGAGAGTGAAGAAATAGGTCGGGCTAGACCTCGGATGCCCTTTGAATTCTAGTCCATGGTGCTTGGAACTTTTCTGTGTGGCCAGCCTCATGATAGTTTTTAAGTGGTGATTAAAATGATTAATCTGGGGGCTGGTAGGTGGTGTGGTAGTTAAGGGAGTTGAATTTCCATGTGGCCAACTGCAGTTCATGTCCTGGATCTGACGGCTTGCTCTCTCTCTCTTTGGTCAAAGACTGAAAAATAATAAAAAGTAAGTAATTCTTTAAAAAATGATTAATCTGTCAGTGTTATGTAGGAAGAACTGGAGTGTCGACGAGACTAGAGATAGGGGAACTATCTAGGAACATTTAGCTACAATTTTATTTATTTACTTATTTTAAAGTTAATTTCTTCCATAATGAGTGAACAAGAAAGAGAACTCTCAACAGGATCTTGATGCCTCGATTCAGCCTCAGCCAGCCCCAAAGCCTGGGCACGTGCACACCTGGCATACTCCAGCAGGTCTCTAGACAAAAACTTGGAACTGTCTCATGTGGATTAGCCTTGTAGAGTTTCATGTGTTCCTACTGCACCATCCTCTGCACTCTAGCTGTGATTTTAGTTGCACTATTATTATTATTATTATTATTATTATTATTATTATTTAATCTAAGGGCAGAAGAACACATCTCTTACCAGGATGAAGAAAAAGCCAGGTGGCAAGAATTTACCACTCTGAAAAGAAGTTTTCTTTTTGATTTATTACTTGTAAAATATAGAGAATTGGGTGTGGACTATAATAGATAGATATATTATTCTCAGATCACCTCAGGATTACAAGTGCTTTTTATTAATAGTATTAAATGAGAGGTGCTTATGTTAAGCTAAGGCAGGTGCTCTAAGACCGTGAGTGCTTAGGTAACAGTGTATAACCGCTTGCATGTCCGTACCCTCAGGGCAGGACAGAGTACAGTGCCTGACAAACATTGGTGCTTAACAGTCTTCCTTGAATAATGGAATGCCATTAAAGAAGAAAATGGATAACAGAACTGCCAGAGGAAAGGGAAGGAAGAGAATAAGGAGGCAATCCAAGAAACAGGAAGGAGGTAACTAAAAATACCCTCCTGAGAGAAGCTGGAGAATAAAAGATAGAAGGCATGACAAGGCCATTGTGTTACAGGTTGCAAAGACAGAGACAGATCTGCAGACCTTAGTTCAAGAGGGTTTGTGATAAGGATTCAAGGGAGAATTAAGAAAGAGAGGAAGTGATGGTTGTCTAGTTTATTAAGCAACCAGATTCTAAAGACACTCTAACCCCCAATATGGCTTTATTTAGAAATGGGGCCTTTAGGAGAATGATTAAATTTAGATGAGGTTAAAAGGGTGAAGTCCTGAATTACCATGCTTATAAGAAGAGATACAGAGAATGTTCTCTTGCTCTATGTTCATGAATAGAGGAAAGGTCATGTGAGAACATAGAAAGTAAGAGTCTACAAGTCAGGAAGAGAATCTTCACCAGAAACCCAGTTAGCTGCAATCTTAGATTTCTAGAGTCCAGACCTGTGAGAAAATAAATTTTTGTTGTTAAAGTCATCCAATCTTTGGTATTTTTTATGGCAGCCCAGTGAGACAAATATACTACTGAAGGGTTTTAGGTCATGGGGCATGCTCTTGCATTCTATCTCTCGCCTTCTCCCTATCTACTAACCCATTTGTCCATCTCTCTAGGGGTTGTTTTAAAGGCTAGTGGCCAAAGACAAGGATTCTGGCTTAGCAGTTCTTTCAGTAGTCAAATGAATGGGCAAGTAGTGGATGGGGACAGGAATGGAGAAGCAGACAAAGCAGAGTGAGACTTAAGATGTAAAATTGGTGGCATTTCAGGATTCAGTATTTGGAGTGGAGATTATTCAGAGGGAGGAGCCAGTGAATACCAGATAGATAGTAATGAGTTCCATGAAGGGGGAAACTTAGTCGGGAACATTCTTCACTGATAGAAATTTATAATGGGATGAAATAATTCAAGACACATGGGTGCGTCCCAGAAGTTAGAGCCCTTTATCTTACTCTCTTCTTTCTAGGCAAGGTGGGCTTAGACTCTTTCTGGGTGGGGTGATTGGCAAAGGCCATTTTCTGCTTTTGAAGATAGCCCTTTGCCAAGGGAACCCAGAACACACATATGGGAGTACCCTAGTGTCTAGATGGACTGGACTCTGAACCTATAGACATGTTTAAGGCCAGGGACAGAGATGGAACTTCCTCTGCCTTATTGCTGCTGCCACCAGCCAGCCTTGAAGATCCTCATCACCTCCATCCTACGTGTCCTGGCTAACTTCGTTGTTAGCCTAGGAGCTTGTTCATAAAACCATTGTAGGAAAGCTGTGATGGCAGAACCATATGTGTGCAACAGTATTTGACCAGGGAAAATGTATTTACTTGGAATTTGTGGTCACTCCCAAGAGGAGTGAAAGTT